CCGAATACGTAAAACTGGTCAAATTAGCAAGAACTCTTTAAAAAAATTAAAGTCCTTTCTAAAAAAATTCTCTTAACGTTTAAAGATTATTTTTTTCATTAATTTTAATGTAAAAATTTTTAATTTTGCACAAAAAGAATCTTAGAAAACTTAGCTAACCTTATTATAACAAAAGCAATTTATTTTAGCCTAACCCAACTAAATATATTTTAGATTTGTTTACAATAATTTAATACTAAACAAACACATTGAAATATATTTTTTTCGTTAGGTTCAGAATGATTTTGGCAAAATTATTGCATACATAAATTTTCACTTGTCCTATATGGCAAGATGAGCGTTGCTATTTAAGCCAAGATCGCAAGTTCTGCCTATTCGGCACGACACACACACACACACACACACACACAAAACACATATATATATATATATATATATTATATATAATATATGTATATATATATATATTTATTATATATATATATATATATATATATATTATATATAATATAATCATTAGTTTATAATTAAATGTAATGGTCACTTTTCTTTTTTTCTCAGTTAAATGCAACAGAGCAGTAGCAAAAATAAGTCACATAAGAATAATAAAATGTGTGTAGCTTACTATGTTCTGTGTTTGAACATGTATATTTAATTCAGTTAATGTGACCCGATGGAAAAGATTAGACACACAGTTTCTCTGTCGTACAGAACCATAGACCAAACCTTCTCTGGTGCACATTACTAAGAAACATACTGTTCCTGTGGTACTGTACCACAGAGCTGTACCAAAAATATATCTTCTCTGGAGTAATAGTACCAAGAAACATTCTTTTTATGTTAATGTCAAAGAACATACACACTAGGGAGCAAGTTACTAAGAAATATTTGTTCTCAGGGGTATTTCTTCCTGCATTCTGTACTGAAACATACTTTCTCTAAACTAACTTACATTTTCCTTGTAATGTTACCAGAAACATGATTTCTCTATATATGGTACCAAGAAATATGATTTCTTTGTTTACTGTATTAAAGAATATATATTCTATGGTGGGTGGACCCAATGAACATAGTTTATTTGGGGTACTGTGCTAAGGAACATGTTTATCACGAAGTGCCAAAGAACACATTAAGCTGATGATATAGTCATCGTTGAAGTTGATAATTTAAGTTCGAGGTTTAGGACTGGTACTCTAAATTACAATGCACTTGTCTGCAACACAGGTACATGGTGCGTATGGACGAGAGAGGAGACGCAGAGGGCAACTATACTCTTATTGGTAGACAAGAGCACCATCTTATGGCTGGAGAGTTCGGTCTCTACCCCGTAGGCGGCTTCCGTTACACCGAGGATGATTACAAGGGCCTGCCCGTATGTAGCCTTTTCCTTTTGTTAATTATAATATAGCACGATGAAGAGGAGACAACTGACAGCCTATGTATTTATTATAACAATTTCGCTCAAATATGCTTATGGTGTTTCAGTTGCCTTTCATTATGAACTGTCTAAATCAGTATGCTGCTACTGAATAATGTATGATAGTTACCTTGTGGGGACAAAAACTAGATTGGTTGACACTATTATTATCCATCACTGGATGTTTTCCTAGATGGACTTCCCTGTCATGTTCCGTCACACTGGATATTTTCCCCACTAGTATTACATCACACCGGCTGGATTTCCCCGTTATATTCCTTTACATTTTAAAGGTTTCACTGTTAGGTTGCAAGATAATGGATGGGTTTCTTACATCAGATAATGAAATATGTTAGACTGAGCTCTTCATATGTTCACAGTTTAGCAGAATTCTTCAGGAAAAGATTCTTTTCACTGGACATATTCTAGGAAAAACATTACATTCACTTTCAGTGACACACAATATCGGAAGTGGTAGATAGGTCTTTGATTTTTAGTGTCCCTTATCACCTTGTGAAATATCTAAGTTACTAGGAATGATTAGGCTCGATTCTACCTTTGGCATTCATGAGACATGGATGGGGTCAGGAATATTAATATACGGAAAGCACATGATCACAATTTTACGCCAGCTACTGATGACCCTCCTAATGCCAGTCAAGAATCCCGTTGATGTATTTGAACCTTGCATCACCCTTAATTAGGTATCCCTTAAGGTGATCTAGACTGGGAGTATTAGGTTTTGTACCTGCCGGTATGCCATTCTATAGATTTTTTTTAACTGGAATTTCTTAAAAAAAAATCAAATAATTTTTAGAGGAGAATTTTAAATGGAATATAAATGAAAAAAAAGAAAAAACTGAGAAACTGTCCTAGAGAAGGCACATTATTAGCCACAGTGATCTCTTCCCCCACCAACTTCATCTGAGAATTTCGTTTATAACTACAGAACGCTTAATTCAGCTGCCTTTAAATTTTTAATCCTGAGTAACTATTACTAGCTGAAGGTTTGTGAAATAATGAAATTGACAGTTGCAGATGCCTTCAGCTCAAATTTTGCAAAAGACAATTTCTGAAATACGTCTCCATGACGTAACTTTGGAAATTCTCCCATAGAAGAAAGCTGCCACTGTTATAGGTTTATGTAGGTGCCATTGTGCCACTTCTATAACGAAGTGGTATAGTAATGTTTTAAATTTCATAACTGTTTTATGGTTCCTGAAGGAGTGGGCTACCTTGATGTCAAGGGACTCTTGATTCATGACCCCGGACTTACCGCTAAACGCCTACTGGTTTACCGATTTCCCACTCGTTAAAATAAAATGGCTGAGAATGGCTGATGGATCGCATGAAAAGGATGAAACTGCTCTTGAACTGTGTAGGTACAAATTCTGCTGGATTCTGTGCACTACCTCGAGAATGCATCTTATAGTCAGATTGAAACTTTTAGTCATTATGGTTTCCTCAAAGTAAGCTTTGTCTTGATTTGTACTCCTGTCCCTGGTAATAAAGTCCCGCAAAAAAAAAAAAAATTGTCATTTTTATAACCAAAAGTTATCATGCTGGAGGAGATATTTTTTTACACGGCATCTTTAAAAATGGCAGGAGTCTAATTTCATCTTCATTTATTTCAGCTCCTGTTTCACCTACAGATGTCATTCTGGTATCAAAATAAAGCTTTGGGGTCAAGGAATTTCTAATCTATATGAATGTCAAATTTCATGTTAAAATGTTTTTTGTTCTTTCAACACACCGGCCGTATCCCACCGAGGCTGGGTGGCCCAAAAGGAAAAATGAAAGTTTCTCCTTTTACATTTAGTAATATATACAGGAGAAGGGGTTACTATCCCCTTGCTCCCGGCATTTTAGTCCTGGAAGTAAGAGGGAATAAACAAGAACAAGAACTAGACAGAAAAGAGAAGAAAACCCAGAGATGTGTGTATATATATGCTTGTACATGTATGTGTAGCGTGACCTAAGTGTAAGTAGAAGTAGCAAGACGTACCTGAAATCTTGCATGTATATGAGACAAAACAAAAAGACACCAATCCTACCATCGTGTAAAACAATTACAGGCTTCCATTTTACACTCACTTGGCAGGACGGTAGTTCCTCCCTGGGCGGTTGCTGTCTACCAACCTACTACCTAGATTTTTTGTTAGTTATCAAGTGGAAAAAAGGTGAAAAATGTTAAACATTATAGTTGTTACCAGTACAATTATACTGCTGCTGCTGTCTGGTGCTGTTATTAGTACAATTACAGCTAGCCCTCCACTTTCGTGAGTTCCACTTTCGCAGGCTTTAAACATTCGCGAATGCCCAGCTTAAAACTTCATTAATACCATAAAGTACTAAGTGGGTTACTGGTTTTAGTGAGCAAACGTTCTTTAGAATAACTGGAAGGAATAACTCTCGCAGTTGATGCTAAGGAACGACATCCGGCCCATGTTGGAACGATGTTTATTTTTCAGAAATTCCATGTTCCAAGAAACTGATTTCAAATTCAGTTTCGGCATATTATTCTACCGCGTTGTTCAGATAAAACAGGATTTCCTCATCTGGTTGATGTTGGTGATCAACCTTCATGGTCAAAATCATCATTGTCAGCTATTGTGAAGTTTTCGGAATAAGTATGGTTTTAGCAGTGATGTGTTTGCATTTCGACTTTGCCAGTATAAGTCATGCTACTAATTGCTGTCTTTTTCTCATTATTTCATTGTAACTCACTGAAACTAACACTTTGTTCAGGCATGTAATTACTTCTCAAGTTTTACAGCTGTCATATATAGTGTGACCAAAGACAACATTAAGTGTTAGTTTTCTTCCATTATGCAGAGACAGCCATCTTTCTTGCACTGAAGGTACAAGAACTCTTTTCCCTATTATATTCATCATCACTTTCGTTTCCTGATAAATGTTGCACTGATGCATCTTAATCTTCCGGAGAATTGCAGTACTACTATGTAACATTAGGAGTCTCTTGTTAATAGTGGAAAACGCTGATAGAAACGCTAATATTTCATCTGGCAATTGAACAGCCATCATATACACTTTCAGTTCTTCTGAATCACAGAATGTCTTTTCATGTCTAAAATTAATGTTTTTAAAGCGTTTGATGCTGGTTTGATTACATCTACTCTCCACTGACGTTGGACTATTTCATCAACCCCAATAATTGTGGAAAATATCAAGGACTCGTTTTTTTTTTATGAACTAAAGCAAATATCTCCTCCATGTTTTATTTAAGTTTAACTTGTTTCGTATGGCTTTTCCAGCCAATTTGCTGGAGAGATCAGAGATTTCTGACAAGGAATTCATATCCTTATTTCAGTGTAGGAGCAATAATTTTATTGCCTCGTCGAAAGGCAACATCATCTATTGAAATTTCTGTTTTCTCTTTAGGATAAAGAATTTGATCTATGTGGTTCAGTAGTGGGTAAATTCCCACTATGATCAGCTTTCCCTCAGGTCATATTCCACTGTGATTAGTTACATTTCCAAAGCTTATAATTTTTCTTTTCGCCAAGAGTTTAACTCCATTTCCTTGCATCAACATTTTTCCCTGATTTATGTATGAATGTGTGAAAATTCCATTTTTGAGAGTCATACATATATGTTACTGAAATATAGTTAATGATTTTGAGATGTAAAGGTGAAAATGTACGTAGTGACTTGCATAGTTTCATGACGACTCTCACGATCCCAACCTTAGAGAATGAAAAGTTTGTGCTCTAACAAAGGTAATTTTATTCTACCAAAGCAAATGTTCATGACCACTTATGTGGTAAATCTCCCCGGACCCCAAGTGTATCAAAGGTAATATGACCACAATGTAATATTAAGGTGCAGCTCTTGAATTCATAGGTATTAAATGTATAACATGTAAACACTGGTAAACAAAACACGATAATTTTTACTTTTATTCATGTGAAAATAGTTTTATACAATTGTAAAAACAAAATGGTATACACTCAATATACAGGAATATGATATACGAAAATAGGCGTAAATAGTTGAAAATCGTATACATCTATAGACATGCACAGGAGATTTCAATTTTTCATTGAAAAAATTTTCAAGAGGTAAGCACATATTACATGTTTATATCATTACTACCTATATACATGGTGTAAAACAAGTAACATGTGCAATATTGTTATTATAAGCTATACATTTTACATGGATATCCTAGTTCAGTCGTCTGCGTTTGAAGGGAATATCAGGATGTCCATGTCCTAGGGAAGTTGTTGTATCTAATAGGTGCCTTCTATCATCAAAGGCAGACAATTATCTGTTAGTTGATGCAGTGCACATTTCTAGGAAGGCAAACATGAAACTAAATTACGTGAATTAAGTACGGAAATGAATCTTGTGAAGGAATTATGGACAAAGGTCAACACCCTTTTCTTGTTATTTTCTTCCTAAAACAGAAACTTGGAATTAAATTTTGTTTTTAATGATTTTTTTTATTTAATGAAATGCTGTGAATTTAATACTACTGTAAACAGGAACATTTATGTAACAATTTATATTTAATACTTGGAAATCACAATTTAATTTCTTTGTCACCGTTTACAGTGTCTTTCTAATTAATTGCACGAGGTCAATATGACATTCATTTGGATTTGAAAACCTCAAATTTGAATTCTTTGATCTCAAAAATATACAGAAGCTGACATAAGCCGTTAAAATTTGACTACAGCTATTATTTAAAAAGGCTTCAAAAAAAAAAAATATCGACATATAGTAATGTTCGGCCACATTGTTTTGCTTCCCTTATATATATACACAAAGTTGTGCTCTTGGTTACATAACCGGTAAGCCAGCTAAAGGCCTCGGTCAGATGACAAAAAGCTCCAACGGCGGGTCATCTGACTAAGACCCGCGTCAGGAAACACTTTGTCATGTTTACTGACGAACCTTACCTAACTTAACCTATGAAATAACTGAACAATGTCTCTTCTACTTAGAAATAAGTCAGTGTTAGGCCTTACTGGATTATCTTAGTGCGTGTCCTCGACACCACTGTCAACAAAGATGTTAGGTGTCCCGTTGCCTGGTAGGCAACGCTCTCGCCTCACACACTGAGTGTCCATGGTTCAGTCTCCGGCCGGGTGAAACCATTGGGCATTTCCTTGCACCTCCTCTCCCCGTTCACCTAGCAAGCAAGTAGGTACCTAGGAGTTAGTCGACTGGTGTGGGTCGCATCCTGGGGGACAAGACTGAAGGGCCCCAATGGAATAAGACGAGAGAGCACTCGATGACGCACTGACTTTCTTGGGTTATCCTGGGTGGCTAACCCTCCGTGGTTAAAAATCCGAACAAAATCTTATCTTACACAAAGCTTAAATTAAACTTAATTAAATACTGTCTTACTCGTTTGCTTATTTAGTTAACGTTTAGCGCTTCTTTTTTATTATAATAATTATTTAGATAACTGGTTGCTTAAAAGTTGGTCAGTCTTAGACTGGATAGATTTTTGACCTGTGAAGGCTTTCTTTTTGTGGAAGATATTGTGAAAATTTGAAATACTGCTTTTCATGCGATATTGTCAAGTGACGCATCCGATTAGCTGTGACGCATCCGATTAGCTGTGACGCATCCGATTAGCTGTGACGCATCCGATTAGCTGTGACGCTCCATTGCTGATAACGTGAACCTTTAGCTTCAAAATTGGTGTTTCCAAGCAAAAAGTGTCACTTATATTTGAGCTGTGTATGTCCCAGTTTGCAATTTTTTTTGAACAAAATTGGAGATTAATGCCTATATGATGACGTGTAAAGACGTCTTCTGATTCCCTTCAATTTTTTAACGCAATAATTTAACAGCATTACAAACTTAAGTCACATCCTCCACTCTTCCAATGATGTACGGTGACGTACAGGGGACCGGGATTATTTTATAAGGGGGGATATTTTTCTCAGATCGAAAATGTCTAATTGCTTTTCTTTTTGGGACAGATTTATACTAGCAGGCAGAAATGATGGTCATAGGTTCTCCACTTAATTCCAAAGGTGGTGTTTCTTAGTCAAAGGCTCTTGAGATTATGCAGTATGCGGATGCCTTTTTGGGATCGCGCAACGACCGAAGTATATCTAATTTCCTTTGGTTTCGTTTCGCGTTTTCTTCGGATGTGGCCAAGTACAATACCTATGGACTGGTGAAACGGGACAACAGGTAAAGAGGAACTTGCCCTGGCCGCTGTTGACCCAGGGCGCTTTCTGTTGCAAGCTGAGACCTCTACCCAGGGGCTACAATGTAAACCTCTGTGTACACCATCAGCCAAAATTGAGGTGTGGGTGCGTGTGTGTGTGCATGTACTCACCTAGTTGAGGTTGCAGGGGTCGAGTTCATGTGTGTGCATGTACGTGCGTGCGTGCGAATGTGCGCATATACTCGCCTATATGTGATTATTGGGGTTGATTTACAGCTCCCGGCTTTGTGTGGGTACCCACGTGCGTTACATATACTACACATTTACTTGTAAGCATTTTAGATTATATATATATATATATATATATATATTAATATATATATATATATATATATATATATATATATATATATATATAATATATTATATATTGGACTGGGGACCCTCATCCTCGGAGAAGACAATAAACGTACCTCAGGGAAAACTCAAGGTTCTCCCTGGAGCTGTTTGAATATTTTCTTCTCCTACCACCCCCTATATTTTATATTCTATGTGAACATTTATTAATATACAGAATACATTTACAGAAAACACAAACATGAATACAATGGTACAATGTGTTAAAGATCATGAATTTCCACCAGCTCCTCCGAAGCCGGACGCGAGTTTTATAGAATAAAATTTGAATTTTTCTTGGATATTTGTGTTTGTCATAAAATGATTCGTAATACATTTAAAAAATACTTTTTAATTATACTTGCCTCCTGCTGTGCTCATTAGCCCACATAATTACCCCAGAGCATATTTCCATATTTTTCCTTTGATAATGGGCACAATCATTAATTTTCCTTCCTGCTGCTCCAGTTCATAACTGTTTTCAAATTAACTGTGTTCTATTTTTTTATATTTTCATCCTCATTACCTATGAAGAGATTATTTGTTGCAGACAAAATTTATTTTGGGGCAATATTTGGATTTTGGTAGAACTTTAAGAATATATTTTGGTATACGAACCTTCCTAGATTTCCTACTCTATTTCTGCAATATTGCAAGCTCATGATGATGTGTTGATTGAAACACGAAAGCCCTAGAGCTCTCATTCAGTTTGGAATGACCTGATAAAGCTCTACCCAGAGCACAACGTTATCCCAATAAAAGCTTGTTATACACATTGTCTTTCCTTTCATTCTTCCGGCATAACATTATTTGGATAAAACCATCACCCATTTTCTGTGGTGTTAATGTTTCTTTCTGTACACAACAGGAGGTGCATATGACCAGCAACATACCGTGGAAGACAGGTTCCCCACCCATTGATGAGCCTCCCTGTGGCTACCGTGGACAAAAATGCCAGTGTGAGTTGCTCTCTACATTTGTTGTTCCGCGAAGCGTAAATGGGAAATATGTCTGAACTGTATATGGGTGTAGAAATCTGTTTGTAGTTACAGGTGGGGCAAAGATTCGAGTACCTGAGTACCTCTGTGATTTTTTTGACTACCAATCACAGATTGGCAGTGGAAAGCAAAATATAACTACTAAAGTGCTACAGCTACATTAATAGTGTGTGCTCGTGTTGTTCTGTCTTTTACAGTAAGATGGTTTTAGTTTCATTTAAAATGACAGTATTTTACGAACAAACATTTTTTTTCTGTCATTTCATTGCAGCCGTCCATTACCGTCTTGCTTTAGAATTTGTTAAAATATAAGTTTATATTTATGCTTTCTAATTTACATCTTTTTTCGCATTATGTAAATTAATGCGTAGATTCCAAATCATCTCTTCTTTTGTGGCTTGAGAGATTTTCTTTTTGTAGTTATTGGAGTATAAATATGTTTGAAGAGTTTGTTCTACAGTTGTTGGTTTGTTTTACTGGAGGCTTAATAAGTTTTCAAAAGTTTTAAATTACACAATTTTCTTTTCATTCCATTCTGTTTGATTCCACTTTTTTTTTTTTTTTACAAAGACCTTCATGTATGATTTCTGCTCCACTATTTTTCTTCATTTACTATTATAACCTCAAGTGAGCAGGATTATCAAGAGTTAGAAGAATTGTCTAGTGTCCCCATGTCATACTAGTTTAATAAATCATTTACTGGCCCTTTTCTTAACTGATGTCCTCACCATCAACTGTAACAAGGGCATCGTTTCTCCAACAATAAGCATATGCGTCTTATGTACATTCAGTTTCCTGAGCGATGTTCCTGAGATAATATTAACTCTTGCATCTACCTGCTATAAACAGATTTGTTTGGTCATCTTTCGTTTGAAAGCAGTAACCTCATATTTTCCTACCCACAAGGGTATCCCCATCTTCCTATAACAAAAGTAACCTCCCATGCTTTCCTGCCACCAACAGTAACACTCTTACATATATTTTATCTCTGTCAGCAACCACGATATCTTGCTGAACACAACAGTAACCAAAACATCTTGTAAATTCTCCACAGCTTGCTACCCATAGCAGTAACTCCAACATCTTCCTGGTCACAAAAGCATTTCTAATGTCTTCCCCTGGCAACGACAGACATGTTAACATTTTCTACCCCAAACAGTAGCCTCCCATCTCCTTTCTCGCAATAGCAACCCCTCCTGTTCCTACCACAACAGTAACCCCTCTTCCTATCACAACAGTAATCCCTTTCCTATCACAACAGTAATCCCTCTTCCTATCACAACAGTAATCCCTCCCTTTTCCTACGCATAAGAGTAACTCCAACATTTTCCTAGTTAAGATATTCCCTTCATCTTCCTACAACAGAAACCAACAGATCTTCTTGCCCCCAACCGTGACCTCTGCATCTTACTGTCCACAACAGTTTCCCCACATCTTGCATACAACAGTAACCCCCCCTTCCTGTTTCGTTACTCACAATAATACGTACATCTTCTTGATTACAACAGTAACCCCCTTCCCTTATTTCCCTGTCCACAACCGTAATACTTCTTCCTGCTCACAACAGTAAGCCCCGTATTTCCCTGTACACAACAATAAACCCCCACTTCTCCATACCCAGGAAAATAACCCCCACATGTTATTACAAATAACAGTAACCCACATATCTCTCTGATTAAGCAGTAACGTCAACATCATCTTGCCCCAACAATAATCCCCTCACATAACTCTGCCAGAAACAGCATCATGCAAAACCCCTACCGACAACAGAAACCCCCACATCTCCCTGCTCGCTACAGAGAACCCCGACATCTCCCAGGTTCTAATAGTAACCCTCATATACATGATTATAACAGTAATCCTTACATCAATTGCCCACTACAGTAACACCCCCATCTCTCTGCCAACAGAAGTAACACCTCATCTCTCTGCCAACAGAAGTAACACCTCATTTCTCTGCCAACAGAAGTAACACCATTTCCCTGGCCACAACAGCCACCCATACATCAATCTGCCCACAACGGTCACCTCCACATTTCGCAGCCCACATCAGTATACCCCACATCTTCCTTCTTACAAGAGGAACCACATCTCTCTTCCAAAAACAATAACCTCTACATATCCCTACCCACAACACTAACCCTCCAGTCACATCTCCCTTCCAAAACAGCATCATCATCTCCCTTCCCTGCTTACAGTAGTAATCCCAACATCTCCCACAATAAAAACTCGACATATTCTCGCCCACAGCTCAAACTGGAGAGATCATTGCTGGTGTGACGGGTGGTGTAGTACTGCTGCTCTTGGTGATCTCACTAGTTGCTTACAGGTAGGTGAAGCCCTTTCTCTTGTCTCTCTTCCATTTTCTAAACATATCGTGCACCAGGTGTAAAATGCTCTTACATCCTTCTCTCCTGGATCTTCGAGTGGTTTCACGGGGTTAAGGGTATATTAAATGCTCGACCCAGCAGTCCGAGGCTACCTCGGACTGGTGGAGTTCCCGAAACTGGTAGAACTCTTTTTGATGCATCTCTTAGTGTATTTAAAAAATAAGAATAAAAGAATCAGGCCCATAGCTGTTGGCAACTCCCTGCACCACCTTGTTGTCAGAGCGAGCAGGCTACCATGATGGCCGCGTTGCAGCCATCAATAATGAGACCAATTCAGCTGAGGTTATAGATTCTACAAGGCTACACAGCAACAACCCATGCAGCACATAAACTCTTCGCTGACCTCACATCCTCGAAGTTTCTGTTTAAAGTGGATTCTGCAGATACCTTTAGCTTGGTCAAAAGGGGCGAAATACTTAGATCTCAGAACCATTTCCCTACCAATTATTTATTTACCTATTCACGGTACAAAAGGGACTCGAAACTTTTCTTTGGAAAGCAAGAGACTGACTCACAATGAAGTGTCCAACAGGGAGACCCCTTGCCCTTCGTCTTTTCTGTTTAGCTGTTGAAAAGGACACCAACGATCTGATCAGTGAAGACATTAGAATTGTCAAAAAGAAAACAGAGAATTTAAGCATCTTTGAAACTCCCTCGAAATGTGAACTTGTGTATTCATGCCCTGCAAGAAGCAAGTCATTGTTCCCACTGATTTGAATCTCTTGGGAGCTGCATTTGGGTCTAATGTATCAGTGAAAATTTAGAAAAAAGAAAGATTTTAAAAGGAGGGAAATCGGGACCGATAACATTGATGCCAGCGATGTCTATTTCTTCAACAAGTGCATTTCCTCTTCCTTAGTTAACTTTTTTTAACTACGAAATATATATTTTGCCAGCCCCAAACTCAGAGTATTACACCATTTTAGCGATACTAGAAAAAGTCTCTGACTTTTCAGCCTCTTTGTCCACCAGTGGATGTAATTAACTGGTAAAGGAGACAGGTTAATGTGGAATACCCTTTCAGCAAAGACAAGTCCCGCTGAAACTTTAACTTACAAACAATTCAGTTGGAATGCGCTAATCGTGAAAGAGGCTTCTCTTCTGAAGTTATGTTAGTGAGCTCAAGCTCTGAAATTGAGACAGCTCGCCTTGCATCTCTGAATGCAGCTTTTTGGGTTGATTTTCTTCTAACACATCGTATCTTTTTGACTTTTTGTATGAGCTTCCAAAGACACGCAGAGTTTACATTTCGTTTTGAGTTATAATTTCCACTAGAAGAAGTGTTATATGACCCTTTCTCACGGCTATCTTCCCTGGTTTCCCTGCGCTTAGGTACTTTTTTTCACGTTTGTACCTATTCAGTTCAAAGAAATTTATTTTAGAATTAAAAAATGCAAGCCTGGAAAACTGGGTAATGGTGAGCTTTGTTGTGGACAGCTTGTTCACTCGAGTTTCTTTTGATAATACGATTAATTTTTTAAGACGAAAATACCCTGAAAAAGATGCGGATTTTCCAATACCTTAAGAAATGATCTTTAAACTTATTGAGCTGTATATTTCCCAGATACATTGCTCATGTGAAGGGGCATTTATCAGCATAGTATATGGAATGCTAATGAGTTCGCCTTTGTCGCCAGTGATAGTTGATATTTTTACAGAGTACTTAGAAAGTGAACTCTTTACTACCATTGTTGACAGTGAGATCACTTGGTTACGTTACGTTGGTGATGTATTCAGTCCTTCTGTCCTCTGCTAATAAACCACATTCATTAGCAGAGATCGTTTTAATTCTTTGAGAAGAAATATTAAGTTTAATGTAGAATATGAAGAAAGCGGTCAGCTGTCGTTTTTGGACACCCAGCATGCAGAAGTGTCAGAAATACGCCTGTTCATGTATATAGAAAACCAACGCATTTAATTAGTTATCTTCATGCGTTTTCCTCTCACTCTTTCCAAGCTAAAAGAGGTGACATTTCGGGCTTATTTCTTACGGCATACTGACTTTGGGGTTTGCAGTTTATACACTAGGAGACCGAATATATCTACAGCATATTTTCTGGTTTCTAAGCTGGGTTATACGTGTAATTTTATAAACTGCGCATTTCTCGCCCAGGGGTAGCTTTTTAAAACTAAAGAAAACGAAAAATTTGGTAGTAGAAATTTAATTGTAGTTCTCTATCCGGACGAGCTAAAATCCACAAATAAAATTCTCTCCAATAATGGTGCTAACTTTCAACAGTTCTAATATTAAGGCATGTGTAAAAGAAGGTTCTCAGAAGATACCCAAATGATTCCGAGAACACAATGTGACTAGATATATTAGGGGGACAAATGATTTTAAACGCCGTTGATATCAACATAGATACTCTGTACGATCTGGATGTTATAATAATGCTGTATTTCGGTAGTCATACGTTTATTCTAGAAACGTTTCGCCAGCCAATGGCTTCGTCAGTCCAATGCAGAAAGACGGAAGATGAGGATTTTGACGGGGCTTGTATACTCCTGACAGATGAGGTGGAACTGTGGTAGGAAGAGTCGCCAGTGGAGAAACCTACTAGTGGAAATAGGTCGTGCTTATAGCTTAGACAAGTTTCTGAAAAATTCCTTGCATTAAGATCCCAAGCTGTTGCCGTGTCTGACAGAGTTTGTATAAATAATTTATTAAACCAGTGAATTGATAAATGAGACATTTCGGTATCTTTATTCAGTCCATTGCAAAGAAAGGTGGAAGATGAGGAGTTGCGAAAATCAGTCCAGCATCCTGGAGTGGAACGCCCCTTGTAACTGGTCCCCACTCAGATTTCGTCCTATTTATGCAGACTTTTTTTTCTCTCAAAACCATGAGTTCCCAATTTCTTGAAATCTTGTGTTGTACTCTATCAAAAGCTTTACTAAAATTGAAATAAATATTGTTTATCGTCATCAACTTCCTCAATTGCTTTACTAAAGAAAGTCTGCAAATTAGTAAGGCAGGAACTGCCTCTGGTGAATCCATTATGAGTATCATAGATCAAATTAATCTTGTAATAATATCAGTTATAATTGACACTAGTAATTTACCTGAAAGTGAGGTCAGGATTATAGGGCGGTAATTTGACAGTAATGACTTATCCCCTACTTTCAACATAGGAATTACATTAGCCATCTTCCACATCTCATACACTACACCTTTTTGATGAGATGTATTTAAAATGTTCACAAAGTTACATTTTGCATTTCTTAAGAACCCTTAAAAAGTTCATCAGATATTTATTGTTTTAATCGGTCAACCTATTAAATTACTATATCCCCATGGACTGTGATATTATGTAATTTATTTTCTTCAGGCCTATTATAAAAAGTAATTACTGGGATATCATTAATGTCTTCTTGTGTAAAAAACAAGAAATAATTGTTAAAAATCGAGCACATTTCATTTTCTTTGTCAGTAAACTATTCAGTTAGTTTTAAGAGGACCTAACTTTTCTCTAACTTTTGTTCGATATACCTGGGAAAAGCCTTTCGGGTATGTTTTCAAATGCTTATCTACTTCAATTTCAGAGTCGATATTATTTCTCCATACTGATGCTCTTAGGGCAACGTGTGTAGTGTTTAGCAAACTTTCATGTTGACAGTTCTCTTCGTTACCCCAATCCACAAATCATAGGTGTTCTCTGAGCACATCGTAATCTGCTAATCTTCCGTTACTGAATTATCTCTACTGTCATACATCATTTAATATCGAAGTTTAGGCAAGGTTTGTCAGGACACAGAATAAATGTTGCCTGACGCGGGTTTTAGTCATATGATGACCCTCATCTAGAGCTTTTGGTCATATGACTGAGGCCTTCCACTGGTTTACCGGTCCACCCCTTTAAAAATTATGGTAATACTGAAGGTAATTGCTTTGTAGTCGCTTTTGTGAAGTTCCACTTTAGTCTCTTGATTATTAATAAGGGTATCCTTGTTAGGCAGAACCAAATCAAGCGGGTTATTTTCCCCTAGTTTTGTCACAAACTGCTTTAATAAACAATTTTCAGTTACATGTAGGAAGTCGTTCGACTCCAGTCTTACTAAACTTTGCTGTAATTGCCACTGCAGTTTCTTCCCTAATTAGTCTCTCTCTTGGGGGATGGTAAATCATTCCTAATTATTTTTCATTCCCTCACAAGAATTCTACCCTGACGGATTCTTTGTAATCCTGCCTGTTTCTCCTCCCTCCCACTGAATTCTCCTCATCAACTTCACATCGTCTGCAAACAGGGACACTTGTGAATATATTCCTTCCGTCATGTCATTCATATATACCAGAAACAGCACTGGTCCTAGGATTGACCCCTGTGGCACCCCGCTCGTCACAGTCGCCCATTGCCACACTTCTTCACGTACCATAACTCTATGATGCCTTCCCGTCAGGTATTCTCTAATCCATTACAGTGCCTTCCCTGTTAAACCTGCCTGGTTCTCCAGCTTTTGCACTAATCTCTTGTGTGTAACTGTGTCAAAAATCTTCTTATAGTCAAAGAAAACGCAATCTACCGATCCGTCTCTCTCTCTCTCTCTCTCTCTCTCTCTCTCTCTCTCTCTCTCTCTCTCTCTCTCTCTCTCTCTCTCTCTCTCTCTCTCTCTCTCTCTCTCTGCTGTTGTCACTTTGTCATAGAATTCCAGTAGGTTTGTTACACAGGATTTCCCGTCCCTGAATCCGTGCACGTTGTCGTTGATAAACTCATTCCTTTCGGTGCTCCACCACTCTTCTCCAAGACTTTGCATACCATACATGTCAGTGACACTGGTCTGTAGTTTAATGCTGCATGTCTGTCTCTTTAAAAAAAAACGGAACTACATTTGCTGTCTTCCATACCTCCGGTAGTCGCCCTGTTTCGACAAACTTGATACAAAGAGCGCCTCTGCTCGGTCTCTCAGGTCCCATGGAGAGATGTCCGGCCCCATCACATTT